GAGGCGGGTTCTAAGGCTCCAGTCCCTGCCCTCGGGAAGACAGAGGGAGACCTCACCTCTAAGCCCCTACTCCCAGCACGGTCTCCTCCTCTATTGCAGATCCTGGGCATCTACAAGCAGGGCCTCAAATGTCGAGGTAAGATGGACTGAATAGCAGGGCTGCTGGGCCGAGGTGTTTTGGAGAATTCGTTTCTGGGTAGGAAGTTGTAGTTTGGTGAAGCAGTTGCCAAGAAGCGACGCACTTTGGAAGCAGCGGGGTATGCTGATGGATGTGAAGGGTTGGCTTTTAAGAGAGTGGCTATTTTGGTGAGGCAGCTGCCTAGGAGCAAAGAACTTTTGAGGGGATAGGCTGGCAATTAGAATGAAAGGAACAGCTTGGAAGGGACTCATATTTTGGTGAGGCGGCTGCTCCAGAGTGAAGGAACCTGGGGAGAAGTGCAGGGCTGCAGGATGGGATGGAGGGTTTTCCCACCAGTGACCGTGGCGGGGTTCTTCCATCCCTCAGCCTGTGGGGTGAACTGCCACAAGCAGTGCAAGGACCGCCTGTCAGTGGAGTGCCGTCGCAGGGCCCAGAGTGTGAGCCTGGAGGGCTCTGCACTCTCTCCCTCCCCGACGCACACCCACCACCGGGCCTTCAGCTTCTCCCTGCCTCGCCCTGGAAGGCGCGGCTCCCGGCCCCCAGGTAAGAGCCTCGTAGCTGGCCTGTACAGGGAGGGAGGCCGGGCTGTGGTAGCAGCCTATTAAGCCTATTAATTTATCCCGGAAGGAACTCAGTCTAGAGTTTGCCATTCTCTTATTGCTGGTGGGATTATTAAGAAGCATTGGTAAGGGGTGCCAAGAAGGTAGCTACGGAGCTCTTGACCTTCCAAAGCCGGGCAGGAGAGGGACCCTAATTTATAAAGTATGAACTGAAAGAGGCTTCTGTCCTCTTATTTTGTTAGAGGGATTGGCAAAGGATTGGAAGGATCACATGAACCATTTGCCTGCATTTCCTTTTTTGGTATTGAGGATTGAACTCAGGCACTCAACCACTGAGCCCCATGCCCAGCCCTATTTTGTATTTTATTAAGTGACAAGGTCTCACTGAATTGCTTAAGGCCTTGCTAAGTTGCCCAGGCTGGCTTTGAACTTGCAATCCTCCTGCCTCAGCCTCCTGAGCCGCTTTTTGACTGAGAGAAAAGTCCCTGGTCCTGATAACCTCCTGGCTGCTTTCTTAGGGCCTCCAGGGTTTTAGATCAGTTGGATGAATGACAGTTTACCAAATGATTGCTTTGCTGAGAATCATTTGAACAGTTATGTTAAACTGAGGTCTAAGGCAGGTGACCATTGCCATTTGCATTAGCCTAAGTCCTCAAAAACAGAGGCAGGCACAGGGCATTTGTCCTCAAAAATAGAAAAGATGAAACCATTTGCATCGAGCCTTCCAGAAGTGCTGGGGTCTGAAATGTGAAATACTACACAAAATTGACATTTAGGCTCATTGCTCAGACAAATCTGTGGCTGTGGAGGAAGCTGCAGCAAAACTAAAACTTAGAAAAAGTGCCTTGAAAATTGGGTCGTTTGGTCATTTAGGGAATTGATTTTTGGTGGATGGATCTGCTTTCCGGATAGGGGGGTGTTTCCGTGAAACAGGGAGGGTTGCACCAGGGATGGGGACTCAGGAGTGGGTTCTGTGAAAACCCTCCTTGCAGAGATCCGAGAGGAGGAGGTGCAGGCGGTGGAGGATGGCGTATTTGACATCCACCTGTAAAGATGGTGAGTCCTCCCAGGGTGGCCCTGAGCTCCCCCTGAGGGCAGGAAGCAGGGCAAGGGGCACTGGGAAATGTGCTCCATCTAAATGGTGGCCTGCACCTGGCTGCGGGGGAAGGGGGTGTCCTCATAACTTTTTTTTTTCCTTTCCAGCTGTGACTGTATCAAGGACTCATTCCTGCCTCGAGAAAATATTTGGACCAGAGCAGGGAGCCTGGGGTTCTGGGGCTTGGTGTGAGGGTGGCATGTACTGAGGGCAGGATGGGGACAGTGTCCCTAAGGTTGTACAGACTCTTGTGAATATTTGTATTTCCAGATGGAATAAAAAGGCCCGTGTAATTAACCTGGACCATCCGAGCCTAGAATCCTGGGGGGCTGTACTTACAGGGCCAGTCCTGTGGCCGGAGAGACATGGGAGATCTGGTTTCATGTGGCTGGAATTTGGGGGAGTAGAACCTAAGAACCAGAACACCTTGGAATACAAGAATCTTGGGGAGGGTCTAGAATCTGAGAAGTCCAGAATATTGGGGATTGAAACCTTGAAACTAGTGTGTCTTTGCACCCGAGAACTGCTGGGCCCAGTAGTCACACATAACCAGAGGCTTGGGCCTGTAATCAGAATTACATTGCTTGACAGGTGGCCTTTCAGCCCCTGCTTGAATACTTCTAGCAACAGGGTGCTCACTGCAGGAATCCTGGGAGGGCCAGGGCAGTTTAGCTGCTGTGGGCAGAGGGGCACGCACAGCCACAGGCCCCTGCTGGGCTTGCGTGCCTCCGGGCAGGTGGTGGGGGCACTCCTCAGTCAGGCAGCCTCCTGGCCTGGTGCTGCTGCCAGCCGGAAGGACAGTGACTTCCAGAGGAAATGCATATTGATCCTGCACTCAGCCTCCGGAGGCCTCTCCCACCCCAGCTCCTCCTTCCCTCCTGAGCTGGCAGCATGGAGGTTTTGGGGGTCACAACTACCTGGAGAAGGCTAAGGCCACTTTTAAGGCTGACTGGGTGGAAAGGGCTGGACAGCAGTTTCTGAGAATGGGAGCTACCTCCCCAGGCCCACCCAAATTGGGGGGTACCCTCCAACTGTGGAATTATCCTGAGGGTGGAGACAGACACTCCCAGCTCCTACCTGTGAAGCAGCCCCCCTGTGAATGCACCCCCAAGGGTTCTCCCACTTTGTGTCCCCCTCTGATTTCTCTAACTCACTCTTCCTGGCCTTTTCCTTATTTTGGGTCACCCCCTTCTCTCTCCCTGTCACATCTCGGCTTCAACCCTATCCCTCATTGGGTCCCCTGCTTTGCCCCTGCCTCTGTCCTCAGCCCCCTTCCGCCCTTCCCCCCTCTTGAGGCTGTAATATCCGTTTCACGATTTGGGGGCTGAGTTGCTATAACAACAGACGGCGATTGTGTTGTGAAGAGCAGCTAGCTCCTGCACCGCCCGCCAGCCTTCCGCGCCGCCTCCGTCCCTGCAGCCTGGTCGCTCCCCTTCCCACCCCCAGCCCCAGCCCGGCCTCTTCCTAGTGTGTGTGCGAGAGTCTGTGGGCTCAGGTCTGCCCCGCCCGGGATGTGACGTGTGCCCGTCTTTTCATGGTTGCATGTGTCAGAATCGGATGTCTGCGCTTCACGTTTGCGGTGTGTGCCTGTATGTGTGTGTGCAGGGACATGCCCTCTATTTGCTGTGTGTCCCCTCCCCGTGTCCCCACTGACCTGTGCACACTGGAGAAGGGCTTGGGTTCTCACATACTCGAGTCACAGTGGGAGGGCACCTGTGTGTTTAGGGTGTGTGTCTTGAAGTGCTGGGTCCCCACTGCCTTGGGGATCTGACTCCAGGACCTTTCTGTGAGACATCCCTGTGGCGGGAAGGGCAGAGAGGCACAGCAGCCACCCGGTGACCTCTCTGCCCTTGATGGGCAAAGCCTTGTGTGGCCAGGAAACAAGTGCTCACCTTGACCTCCCTCCCTGCCCAGACTCATTAGAAGGGTCTGAGAGCTGTCACTGCACCTAGCTGTGGTCCCTCTCTGCTCTGATGCCTGGGTGGGCGTGTGTGAGAAGGCTGCAGGAAGAGGCACAGTGGGAGTGGGCGGGGCAGTGGGCTGTGGGGTCAGAGAGGTGATTTCACATCCACAGGCCCTGACTCAGCAGTTCCCATTCTCTGGCTCCTCCAGTGGCTTTGGTGGGGATGGCTTGAGGGTCTCTCCAAGGTCAGAGCTGGCCTGAAGTCCGGGACCTGTCTCCCTCCCAACTCTTAGGAAACACCTCCTGCAACCTGGGTTCCCCTTTAACCCTCTCACAGTCCCCCCGTGGGAGTGTCCACATTCATCTACTCAGTCATTAATCACTCTTAATAACGCACTTAGAGGGGCAGGATGACCCTGTGGGCAGGGCCCCTGTTTGTACCTGTTCCCCTTAGCATGCATTTGCCTTTGAGTGTGAAGGCACCAGTGTACCCAGGAGTGTGTGTTCTTGAGTAAGTATGTACTTCCTGTGGATGTCTTACCATGATGGGGCGTTTCTGCAGGTGTCCCCAGTGTCTCTTTGGAGTGCCTGTATGCACAGATAAGCGTGTTTGGCTGGGTGTGCATATGCATGCATTAGTGGTTTAATGTGTCTTCTTGTACACTGCCTCTGGCTACGAGATGCCAACTACCACCAGCTGTGCAGATCACAGACCCTGCAACAGGAACCAGGGTCCTGGATGAGCTGGCAAAATGGTCTAGCGTACACACACACACACACACACACACACACACACACACCACAGCCTCATTCAGAAGCCAGTGTCCAGCCTACTTAGTGGGACACACACTAGGTGCTAGGTCCACCTTTTCTTTGGCTGAGTGAGGAAAAGGATGTCCCCTCCCCACCCTCAACGCAGCATGCAAAGTGATGGAGCTGTCGTCGCACACTCCAGTACCCACCTGAAACTCAGGGCTGGCGGAGAGAACAGAGAAGGGGGCTGCTGCCAGTTTCCCTCAGTGACCACGCATGAGTAGCCGCAATCCCAGCCCTAAACTTACTCCTAACCCAGCCCTGTCTCCTAGGCAGACCTGGGAATCCGGCTTCTGACTCTGGGATTCCCATGAGACTGGACTGGGAAACCCCAAGTCCCTAGGTTTACCCCACCCCCATCTCTGCCTTTCCCTTCCCCACAGCCTTCCACATTATCCCACCAAGGATCTTCTCTCTTGGGTTCTGGAGGCTCC